TATATATATATATATATATATATATATATCGGGTATAACAGCAAAATTGCCCAAATTGTGTAACCGCAGAATAATCCATTTGTTAGATTAAGTTTGAAATGTTCTATCTTAGAAATGATTAAAGATATCTTACTGGAATTTTCCGAGGTTTTATAACACTGTTGGGCTCTAAATTGAGCAATAAGAATGTATAATTACTCTTCAAGCTTAACAGAAGAATCTTGATAAAATCGTTCACCAAGAAAAATGTCATGTTCACAATTAATTAATCATAGGTAAAGATCGGAAGCTCATAAAGGATTGAAATAAAGTTCATATATATATATATATATATTAGTTCAAGATAATTTTCCAACTTATTCAAGATGATCTTCGCCCTCTCCAAACTTCTAAGTTTTTGTCCTGGAGTAACATGGTGCCTCATGGGTTTAATGTGCGATTTTATTTTCAAGTCTTTTTTCAGGCCTTTTCCATGGGCGTTAGTAAGATGTGAATGCCAGCCAACCCCAAAGGAATTTCAACGCGTTTCACAGATTCCATGTTGTTAATAATAATAATGCCAAACCCATCTTCAATTAGGCTGCCGATAATAATAAGGCAAACGACACCTCTTCCATTATCAACTACAATAATAATAAAGCTACACTCGTCTCAGCTGAAGCAATCAACACTCTCATTAAAGGTAAGTAAAAAAATTCGAGACTATGATTTTATCCTTGACAGGCATAAAATTGGTTTTAATCTGTTCTGATACATGTGAGTAACGACAAAGTATCAGAGAAAATGGAAACAAAAGGAAGCGTACTTAACATCATTAACGCTTCTGAGGCACATCATGAGGAAAGAGGGCTTGGAAAATCTGATACTCACAGGACAGAATAAGGGAAAGTGGGACAGAGGAAAGCAGCGTATGACGCACTTAGTGAGCTCGAGTAAATGCTTGGCGGAACAGGGTTTCGGAGAAAAAACAGAAAGGCTGAATTTATTGAGAGTTTCAAGGAACTGGAAATTGTGGAGAACCATGACCGTTTACGTCGTGAGGAGACACGGCGCATAAAGAAGAAGACATGACCAACTATAAAATCACGTGTGAAATAAAAAAAAACAAGAAGAGATTAATTGGAAAGAAAACGAAATTAAGAATTCCCGATATTAAGGACGGCAACAAGAAAATAAAGGAGACACTCAGAGAAACGAACGAAGAGAATAAAAGAATAAACGAAGGAAGAGAATAAAAGAATAAACAAACGAAGAGAATAAAAGAATAAACAAACGAAGAGAATAAAAGAATAAACGAACGAAGAGAATAAAAGAATAAACAAACGAAGAGAATAAATGAATAAACGAACGAAGAGAATAAAAAAATAAACAAACGAAGAGAATAAAAGAATAAACAAACGAAGAGAATAAAAGAATAAACGAAGGAAGAGAATAAAAGAATAAACGAAGGAAGAGAATAAATGAATAAACAAACGAAGAGAATAAAAGAATAAACAAACGAAGAGAATAAATGAATAAACGAACGAAGAGAATAAGAGAATAAACGAACGAAGAGAATATATGAATAAATGAACGAAGAGAATCAAAAAATAAACGAACGAAGAGAATAAAAGAATAAACGAAGAGAATATATGAATAAACGAACGAAGAGAATAAGAGAATAAACGAACAAAGAGAATATATGAATAAATGAACGAAGAGAATGAAAAAATAAACGAACGAAGAGAATAAAAAAATAAACAAATAGAATTAAAGAATAAACGAACGAAGAGAATAAAAGAATAAACGAACGCAAGTAAGAACGTAGACTAACCGAACTGACAAAAGAATAAGAACAGAGGAATATGAACGCAAACAATAACTTCTTCTAACCTAATTCACAAAGAAGGAGAACTGACAAATAAAAATCTGCCTACAGAAACCATTTATCCAATGAAGTGATTTAGCAGCTGTTTCTTGCCAGCTGTTCCATCGTAAATTCTTAAATTGCGTCTGCCGGACATTTTTCAGTAAACGAAGGAGCAGGCATTGTCCACTCCGACCATTTGAAGCTAAGCCGTTAAACACCGTCTTGCTGAGAGAGGCACTTTCCACAAGAGGATATTAACAAGCTTACAATGTGTCAGTAAGATGCTCTTTACACGAAGACACCTGTTAATCAGTAAACTGTAAGATCAGAATTCTACCTGATGGGCAATCGTCATTTTTCACAGTGGAGGCAAATTAATGTCGGCTGTGGAATTTATTTGAATTTTATTAACATTAAAACGAAACGCTGACAAGATTAACGTTGATAAATGTGAAATTGAAAACCTTCAGTTTAAAGAGGGCTTTACTATATTTATTACTAGCAGTAGAGCCCGGCGTTGCCCGGGGATGTAACAGTAAGAGATAGATCAAGTATCGACCATCATAAAGACTGAAAAATAAAATTGACAAAGATTATTGCTTAAGATTGACGGACACGCATGTCTTAATTAGTTTTTTTTTTTTTTTTTTACGAATTGTTCAAACCCAAACTCAAACAAAAGCATTGTTTTCAATCGTTATGAGTCTACCGATTGAATAGAATTTTATTATAAACAATTGTCTTGTAAATGGAATTTTTAAAGAATTCTCAATGTAAAAATAAAGAAAAAAAAGTGTGCAAGACAATAAGAAACATTACCTGCCAAAAAAAAAGTGAAGTTTTGTTGAAAAATGTAGGAAATCCCGTCCCATATATAAACGAACACACACACACACACAAACAACCTGGGTTTTATAATAAGTATAACTCGATATGAGTTGTCCCCCTTTCATTCTCGCGATGCCTCTTAATCGTGTTTTCAAATTGATTTTGTGCAAATTTGGCGCTGTCAGAACCACCGCAAGGTAATTTTACGTAGTCCTGTGAAGTTTTGTTGAAATCGGTTGAAAGATGTAGGAAATCCGATCCAATATATAAACGAACAGACAGACACACACACACAACCTGGGTTTTATAATAAGTATGATATCCGTTGAGAAAGCTTGCTAACCATTACACCACGTTGAAGTTCCCTTAGACATAAAGCTTAGCTTAGATGTGGTACAAGGCTGAAGGTACGGAGCACACAGTGAGGATCGAACTCACTATTCAGCTGTAATTGATCTAACGAGACGAGTTTGTAAATTATTACATCACGTCGAATTACCCTAAAAAGCGAGGCACAGCTTAGATGTTGCACAAAGTCGAAAGTTTGACACACCCAAAGAGGATCGAGCTCACTCGTAACTGATCAAACGAGGCAAGCTTGCTAATCATAAAACCACGTAGAGGTGCGTATAAAAACTTAGCGTAGCTTAGATGTGGCACAAGGTAGAAAGTATAGAGAACCCAGTGAGAATCGAACTCACTGCTCAGTCGTAAATAAACCTATCAAGACGAGCTTGCTGACCATTGCACCATATAGAAGTGCCCATATTAATTGGTCTGTAACCATAGAGAAAAGTATATTTTATATTTGAAGCTTAAAGCGGTAACGCACATATTTTTAAGGCGTAAAGTGATAAACCTATTTATATATGGGGCATTGTGGTGATCCACGTCTTTAAAGCTTAAAATGGTAAATCCATTTACTTATCTAGACGTAACGTAGTAAATCACTTAAAGACTTAAATCAAATCTGTATCCAACACAGAACCGCCATATAGATTGACGTGTCGGTGGACGCATATTTCTATCGATTCCTGTCGTTCAGGACGCATATTTTCATTTATATATATAAAAAAAATGTGTTTGTGTGTGTGTGTGTGTGTGTGTGTGTGTGTGTTAGACTAAAATATGTTCCGGCAGGATGTCTCCGACAAACTGATGGAATTCAAGTTAATGAAATGAATCTAATGATTTAATTTAATTACAAATTAAATTTGAAGATCTTTTAGCTTCCATTTTTGAAACATGTTTATTACTGTATAATTTAATTACAAACCATATTTTAAATCAGTTAATATATATATATATATATATATATATATATATATATATATATATATATATATATATATATATATATATATTTCATTGAATATGAAAGACAAGGTGCTTTTATTTAGTTTTTTATACAATTTCTCATGCGATCTAATAATTTTTTTCTTTTCAGATGATAAATTATATAAAAACTCTCCGAATGATCTTTTTATCCGAGCGCTTTCGGCTATACATTTATTCATTTTCAAGGATTAAATATTTTAACTGTTAAATAAAAATAGTTTGCTGCATGTATATTTTATAAAATGCTTCATTTTTCAAAATACAGTCAAGATATTGTGTCCATGTTCAAAGTTAATAATTTAAGTTTTATTTTTTTCGCTTTTATTAATAAGGCTTCCATTATTTTTAGCCTTTTTTTTTTTGCATGTAGATGATGCTATTATATTAATGTTGTCAACAAGTATGTCACGAATAGTGTCCGGTAGGTCTCCATGAATATTTAAATAATAATTGAGCTATTGTCAGAAAGGTGTAGAGATAGTCTTCATATAAACATGTTGTAGTTTGACCTATATAATTATTTACGAATTTTGATTGATCAGGAATACAATATATATATGTAGAGGGAATATACGAATACATACGCATGCTGACAAAAACACACACACACAAAATGGAAATAAATCTAAGAACACACAGGGGTCATTAAAAGATAAGAATACAGGTATCTTTCTCACCTTTTCTCAGAAAATCTTAATTGTTTTATGATCCTTCACGCATAACTTTTTCACTGCCAGTTCAAGAAAGATATTTGGATCAATAATACACAACAAACAGAATGTCTAATATCAAGAATATTTAACATCGAAAAACATAAAAATTAATTTCTTTTAATATGTGGAAATATCCACTCTTTGCCTGATGAAGGTCGCGAGACCGGAAACCCGTGTAACAAAATTATGGAAAATAAAAGCATAATATATTTTTTTTAAAAATCCATATTACAACCAAAAATATTTGCGGTTTCTCTCTTCTTTTTAATTATATATATATATATATATATATGTGTGTGTGTGTGTGTGTGTGTGTGTGTGTGTGTGTGTGTGTGTGTGTGTGTGTCTGATTGAATATATTACAGACATTATGTCCGCAAATTTTTAACTAAATCCGTTCATACTCACGAATAACCTTCTCTGTATTGATGTTAAAGGATGAGAAAATTGTGCTATAGCTGTTTAAATTTCTTTTATTTTCATGTACCAAGTACTTTCGATCTTTTTCCAAGATCATCTTCAGGAGTGCAAGTAGTACAAAACTATATGTTGTTCATTAGTACAAGTATTTATACAAAGCTGTGCGTTGTTATGCATTCCCGTAATTTTTATTATTATGCTTTTAAATGCATTCCTGTCCACGTTCACAATATAAAATATTACTAATCGACAACACAAGTATCCTACACCATGAAAACAACAAATTCAAGTTACAAATACTGGAAGCAATTTATCTTAAAAAATTAAAGCCGACACTGAATAGAATCAATTATGAATTCTGCATGTTCAGAAATGCCTGAAAAGGAACAGTTTTTTTTCATACTTTAATGCGCGCATGAACATAACATTATAACAGGGAAAAATCCATAATGGATATTTTTCACGTTCTAATGAACGCTCAGCACATTGTCAACCGTTTAATATATATATATATATATATATATATATATATATATATATATATATATATATATGTGTGTGTGTGTGTGTGTGTGTGTGTGTGTGTGTGTTTTGGTAGGGTAGAGAAAATTATATGAAATTTTAATTTTCTAATGAACGCTCAGCACAATGTCAACCGTTTTGCATTTACGCATACACACAAATATATATATATATATATATATATATATATACAAAATAATCACACATAATTAATCAGAAATCAATGTTCATCCATGGTGCGAGTTTTGATCCATCGAAGAAAAATAATATATGTTAAAAATGCATATGGAAACCTTTAATGTTCATCCATGGTGCGAGTTTTGATTCTTTGAAATGTTTTAAAAAACTTGTTCTGTAAAAAATTTTCAGTATATATTGATGTTAAATGCACTATGGATGAACAGGATTTTAATGCATATATTATGTTTTCTAGCGATGGATGTCGCCAATAATCAGCATTTACTTTGATTAAAATCATGTGGATGATTATTCTTTTATGTAAATATATATGTTTTCTAGCGATGGATAATGTTTTATGTTTATATATATATATATATATATATATATATATATATATATATATATATATATATTCACACGTTTCATTAAATAATATAGACATGTCTATTTATTTTATGTAAATTCTTTTCATAACGTCTAAGTTTAATAACATTATCATTGAACGAAGAAAGAAATTCACAATATTGATCCATATTTTTTAATTCAATCTAAGCTTTCGGCTTACATAAGCCATTATCAAAGATGTCAAATACAACATATTAAGCAATATACGGACAAGACAAGTCTGTAAATCTTTACAGAGATTATTTCTAAGCAACAATAAACACGTGCATATAAGACACTAGAAGCGAAAATCGCACCGCATCTCATGACGTCACACATGACCACGCGAGAGTGAATTGGAGAAGTATGAAGTATGGGAAGCCTATGGTATAAACCAATGGCTTCTGTTACCAACTATAGATTTAAGGATATTTGTAGAGATTCCATAATTGATTTTGTTTAGGTTGGGTTTCAACAGTTTGATGTATATAGCTTCAAGGATTTTTAGTTTTTGTCTATTGTTTTCATGTCGAAGTATAATTGTGTTTTCAACAAGTATTTAATATATATATTAACAGTATTACTCGCTTGAAAAACCTCGGATGAATCAACTTGTAGACACCTAAGGGCAAATTGGTACACGAGGAATTAAAAAAAGAAAGAACTAAAAACATCCGAACAAGGCGAAACAAATCAAGATGTCTTTAGTCCAAAGAAAAAAAACAAACGAGTATAAAGACTAAAATGTAGAATGCTCAATACGGTAAATTAGAATAAATCCTAACGAGCCATGCAAACCTGCCTAGGTTTCACCTAAACACTCGTTAGGATTTATTCTATGTGCTTACCTCATATGGTCGCTCTTTGTCGTGGCGAAGGGGCTTGTGTGGTCCAATGACCCCTAGAAAGATGCCGTCGGGAGTTCTAAACTGGTAGGGCCACCCTTGGCAGGTGGCAAGGTCGAAGACGAGGACCCAGACTAAGCACGACCAACCCCAAAGAGCACAACTGTGGATGGGCTTGTGTCATCCAATGACCCGAGAACGATGCCGTAGAGTGTTCTAAACTGATAAGGCCAGTCTTGGCGGCAAGATCGAAGATGAGGACTCAGACTAAGCGCGACCAACCCGAAAGACCACAACGGCGAAACAAGCAGGTGACGTTTACAAGAGATCTCAATGGTTTAACCAGCGTATGAAAAGGGCTACGCACCACGGACATGCTACAGAAGGCGTCACACGAAATTATAACAGAGTTAGAGGTAGTCCTTTGCAGCTGCATAAATGCATTCTGCATGCCTCATTCCATATGTGCCACAGAGGAAGGTCATGCAATCAAGGTCACTTCCTGGCAAGTCCTCCTTAAACAAGTTCACACCATCTACACTTTCTTTGATTTTCTTTTACCTTCAACCAACTTTTGGAAAGCCAAACTGAAATAGGGTATGGATGAGGGAGCAGGTTTGGGTTGAAACTGGAGGCTTCTAGTCCTGAACCTGCACGTTGGTGGTAAATGCAGTCATCAACACAGGAAGCAATCAGCAAAGAAATTAAATTCTTAGTTACGATATAAAGCCGACGACGACTGTATCGGTCTCGTAATCCTCTCTGCCGTTGTTCATTTTCCGAGATTAGAAATTCTGATCAAGTGTTTTTGAATAAACATTCTACGCTGAACTATAATTATCACATAATTAAAGTAAGATTATCCTTAAACTGCAAACAATTCCTGAAAAGTATGCAAAACCAAGCAAACACTCAAATCAGATAGGCTTTCTCTACTTGAAGGATTTGCCCAACACACCCCGCTTTCCTGTTTTACGTAAGTCAATGTTGCATATATCAAAGATTAAATTTCGAACGTGTTTGGTGACAATAAAATAGCATATTTCCAACTGCCGTCTTTCAAGACAGATACTGTTGTTTTTTTTTCTCGTTTTTTTTTTGTTTTTGGGGGTTTTTTTTCTTAATCGATTTCACCACAAGGAAGGCAGTAAAGCCGCTAAAACCCAAGGGGTTATACAGGGTGTGAAAGAATTAGGAACAGAAACATAAATAATGAGAGGGAAGAGAAAAGGGTGATCAGTAGATAGCGATTGACATTGTATTTAAATTTTTCGTATTAAAGTTGGCTGGAAAGGATAGACCCGGAAGGGAGTTCCACAAGCGAGAAGTGCGAAAAGTGCGAGAAAAGAAACTGTTAGCATAGAATTTACGGAAAGATCTAGCCAGCTCAACTGTAAATTGAAGAGGTCTTGATGCCAGTCTTGTACTGTGTTTACATTCAAAAAGTGTAGGTACCATAATGAAGCGCTCATCTGAACAATTACCATGAAAGTATTTATAGTAAAGACACAGTTTATGGCAGTGGAAAAGTGACTAAAGCCTTCAATAATCAAATTGGTGCAACACAATCTTTTTACTGCTATTCATTAAAAAAAACTATTTTAAAAGAAAGATGTTATTTTTATGCTAAAGGCAACTCTTCTTGGAACATTGTGGATTGCCAAATATTTTTCTAGATTTATTTTCACGCTTTAGAAAGTAATTTCCTCTTTCATTGTGATCAATCTCATATTTGAAAAATTATATTCTATCATAAATTTGGTACAAACATCAGTCAGATAAGGTACTTATTCAATGAGTTATTTTAATTAATATCTTCATAAAAAAACCTTTGATAATATTGAAAAAGAGAAAATAATGACATATTCAAGATGCTGACATCCCACCCTACTTCAAATAAAAGGTTTAGAAGGAAACCCCCATAAATACCAGAAAGGGCTTTGAGTGAAGGAACCCTGTATGTCTTGGCATAGACCATGTTACAATTTTTGGATACATTATGTACTAGTGAGCCAACTCAAATGACTTGACTCACTTTATAGTCCACCAAGAGAAAGGTTAACCAATCAGAAGACGTAAAATATCCAATCCGTCGTGTATAAAGGCAGCCATTTTGTTTACTCTCTCCGAATGTCGAGTGCCAACTTGTCAGGCGAAAGAACAGAAGGAAGAACTACTGAACTACGCTCTGCTACTTTTACCGGGATATCCACTGCTAACCTGAACTACGCTTCCCTACTGTCTTCGAAATATTCACTGCTAACCTCTGGGTTCTATACTCAAAGACGACCGTCATCATGAACAACAGACCATCCTTCCTTGAACATTTTGAACTGGCGCTACACAACCACAAACAAAGATCTGTACCAAATAACAGAAACCACATCACTTGAGGATTACCAACAGCAGCAACAACTAAATAGATAGCTTACGTAAGCCAAAGAATGAAGATATGTGAAATTCTACACCACTTCGGATAAAAGGTTAGGAAGGAAACTCCCATTAATACTGGAAAGAGCGATAACAGCTACTGAACTTGAGAACCCTGACAAATCTTTTTAAGAAAAAGACTTTTAAGAAATTTTATAAATTTCAACCGACATTACTACTGGCTGCTTGATCAATGAACACCGAATGTTTCCTTATAAGGAAACACTTAATATTACCATTGCCACTACTATCGACATGGCAAGGACACTTTCAGATATTTTAAAAATATTTGTTAAAACTGCTATGGAAACTACTAAATTACTAAATGTTTATTTATCATTGGTAAACCATTCATATCACGATGTCCATACGTTTGGAAGTACAGTACCGAAGAATATGGAATGGCCTTGTTTGAGTGTGTAGTCTAGGGTACGATCTCTTGTTAATAGAAAAGAAATAAGAGGAGACATGTAACAATGGAGATGGGGCATTGTTAAAGTGAAAAGGAGATTTTATTTACGTTTTCTCCTCGAATTATAAACAGAAATGATTAGTGAGTTGGGGATGTGCAGAATTTATTAATTATAATTGAGAGAATCAAAAGGAATTTGTGTAGGTTGCATGACTTTCTGCATCCACAAACAAATAAATAAACGAATTTTAAATACGATCAAAAACAAGACATATTCAATTTAGAAACCAATAAAACATTTATATACAATTCAAAATAATATACAAACAGGATATTTGGTATATGTTACTATGGCAAAGTGTGTGTGATATTTTAGGTTTCGATATGTCTCTCTTAGTATTCGTTTGTTTATTTACAGTCTTCCTAGATTTGTGTTGATATTAAAATTGTCGATATTAAGTGTTTTTTCGGTAGGAGTTCTTATGGAGTGGTTTACCTTTGACTGTATTATTTCTAAATCGTTCGTATGTTGATTTTTCACTTAATAGGTAGTGAATATAATTCACTTTGGATAAGCAAGGTTTGTGATTCGATGTCCACAGAGTTGGTTGAGTTTAAATTGCAAGTGAGTCAGCTTTGATGTACCTTTGCGCGGTAAAAATCGTGATTTCGAGTGACGTGGCAATTTCTCTGTGGGTGTTCGTCTCTGACTGCTTTGGTCAGTCGGCGTTTTCTTTTATATGTTTTGAAAGTCCGAAATCGGCTCACAGGATTTTGGCGCAATTTCGTTTTGCACGTGAAACTTTCAGATTATTGTGTCGTTAACCAATGAGATTTGTTGATTCGCCTAGTACGGTTTTTATTGGTTGAAGTTTTCCGTACATAGGCGTAAGATATAGACTGTTCTGTTACTAGGGGTGATAGGTAGGAAAAGGACGAGTCTACAAGCGAGTTCGCCTCGAAAGTCTACCGCATATGTAGGAGGAAGTATTGTATCGTCGTTGTAGAGAAAGATCAAGTGAGGAATACATACAAGTTGATGAGAAGCATTTGTTTATGAAGTTATCTTCATCTAGACTAAAGAGGCAAGAACTAAAAGGCAGCAGTGTTTTGAATTCAGAGTTGTCCTTTTAGATCAGTTATTTTCGCCAGAAGAGATGAATTCCTATCTCTCCACAGCACCTAATTGAAGGTAATGCGCTCGACTGGAATTCAAACGCGGATCTTCGATTCCTCAACCCGTGCTACTAACCATTACTCCACGGTAGAATCTATCCTTAGTACTTACAAATAAAGAATGTAAACGAATATAAGGTACGTAAAAATGACTATTAATTATTGCATTTATGAACATTTCAAAGAGGCTTCGAAAAGAAATTATATAAATGTTATGGTCCAGTGGTACCTTGTACCACGGTGATGGTCTAAAGTAGAACCAATAAAGAAGAACTAGAAGGCGGATATGGAATAACAAATATACAAATGGTTAACCCTTTAGGCCCTGCGTTCCTGAACAATTTTAACCCTTCGACTTGAGCTCCTGACTCAAAATTCGCAAATGATTGGTATGTAATGTTTCACGGTAGATATAAAAATAGTTACAAAAGATATAAGCATTATACTTAGCACGGAGAGAGTATGATTGCATGCCTTCATTTTATTCCCAGAATTCTTTCTTTGTGTGACAATCTACCCAGCAAGCGCTGCCTCTCTTGATGCCCAAGAAGCGCTGGCATGTTGTGCAGCGGACTGAAGACTTCACAGCCTTGACAGGATAGTCTTTGTAGGCCACGGTTGGGTCTTTCTGCTTGAATTTATTTTATTTATAAGAGCACACAGCACAGAGGTTGTTATTGGAGGTATTTCTGAGAGGTGGAGGCCGACATTTTGCAGGCGTTCCAGAGTATCAGCATTGATTGAATACCTGCGCACTGTAGCTGGCTGGAATGCTCCCACCAGATCCACACAGGATTGATCTAGGAACTTTCTGGTGTGGACGGACTTGGCTTGCTGGGGGAAAGTTGTGTGGAACAACACAATAAGAAAAACACGACGCAAGTGTTTACCCACCTTTCAACTGGTGGCTGGGCACTGAGTCATTTTTCTCTACCAAGCAGTGGCCAGGGCTTAAAGGGTTAATTTGGTAATAAAATTACTGGGTCAACCCTGAACCGTAAAATGAAATTTAATTAATGTTATAGTCCGGTTCCTTTTACCACGGTGATAGTCCAAGGTAGAACCAATAAAGAAGAACTCGAACACGGATATGGAATAACACAGATATATTACAAACAGGAATATATACAGAGAAGTAGAAAGTGTTAGTACGAACAATCTGGTTTAGTAGAGAGAACAATGTAGTCTCGACCAGTATCACTATTCCAATGTCTTGCAGTAATTGTCTGAACGCGACTCTATTTCGGACTGCCTCTGAATCGATTAACTGACTCGCTCTGACTAACTGACAGACTCCTGACGGACTTCTGACTCCAGACTTCAGGCTGAACAGTATTTAGTCCCCTCCCCACGAGGGCATCATGTGGCACAAGGCCGGTTTAACGTGGGATCTCCGAGCCCGTGGACTCGACCAAAAATATGCCCCTTGAACCCGTATAAACGGGTTCAGGGTCGGTTTACCTCCCCGAAAGAGACTCCGCCCTTCGGCGTAGCCTCGTTCGGGTTCCTCCCCGCCCGAAAGCAGACAGTTCAACCGATCAGCCGGTCGTCCGACTTCAGGCTGAAACCCCTGCTTCCTCTTGAGGCGCAGTATTTATTACGTATGGAAGAGTCCATTATGTTATTATGGGTAAGGTCCCATAACAATAAATTAGACGTTATTTTGTGCCAAATTAAATTTGTAAAATTTAAAATATTAATTTCATAATTTTCACTGTCGACATGGAGTCCATTTTCACAATCTTTTTTGTTATTATTAGAATGTTTCTTACATCAGGCAGCAAGTCTTCTAATTGGGAGATTAGAGATTTTGCGGAGCGTGGAACTACCTCTTAATTCATGTTGTTTCCAGGTTGACCCAAACTCTGGTTAGTAGTATCCTACCCTTAACCTTGGCAATTACAAACAACGTATGTAGACGAAAACGAATATAAGAGACCTACAGGTAAGTAAAAATGACTATTAATTATTGCATTTAACAATATTGTTATATTGTTAAATATTGATCCCTACAAAAATCTGTTAATGGCAAGAACCTTAATTCTCTGGAAACCTGAAAATAAGAAACCATTTACATCACTTCATCGCCATGTGTCGTGTTAAAGAATTTTTCTAGAATCTAGCTTATCTTCGCTCTTGCTATATATTTAGAGATTCTTGATAAAATCCAATCCGCAAATGTCATTGGCCCTGACCTGGCATCTCGGCTTCAGTCATGTTTCCCACCGTCATTTACCTTTTTTTTTCCATGATAATAATTTACATTATTCGGACTATCGTCCTCATCTTTGTTGTCATATTTATCACAACGTTTCAGCTGTTGTACGCTCCGGCCTTCTTCAGGTGGTTGGAATGTCGAACTGAACCCTTTATTTCATTCGCTGTTCTAGTTCCACGTGCCATATCAGTTATCAGTTAATTCCTGTTAATTATCCTCTCCAAATTCTCCACCGTCTTAACCAGGTATTGAACTCACAACTCTTTGGGTCCTGTCACTGGATCTAACCGACGCCTTCATCCACTGTGCCATGTGTCCTTAAGGATATCTGTGTATGAATTTCTGGGATTTATAAACATAATGTCTTCAGCAACCATTCTTACCAGTGCTCATATTGCAATTTTTGCTGTTATCATTGGATTTTTTTTCCAGAGATCATATTGCATTAAGGCAGTGGAGAATTTGGAGAGATGAATTAACAGGAGATTAACAACCGATTCTTAAAATTATAAAAGCTTAGCGGACCGGTTGTTGAATTATTCGAAAATAATCTTATAAAGGGTGTTCCAATAACTTGGACCGATTTTAAATGTGAATTAAGTTTAAGCGTCTGATGATTTTTTTCTTTTTCTTTCAGATTTGGTGGACATTTGGGCGATATTATTTTTCATGCATAATTGCCATGACTTAAGTAACAGGATCCAGTAGAGAAATAAATAAATTTTCACAAATAACACTGATTTATTTACTGCTGACCGATCCGTCTATTAAGATAAAGGGTGTTTCATTAGAAACACCCTTTATATTAATAGCCGATTGTTTAGGTAAAATGTTAGTTATGCTACGCTCGAGCGTACATCTAGTAAAACTTTAATAGACACACACACCTAACTGCCATTTTGAAGTTAAAAAAGTGGTAAATCTTCTAGTCATAAATTTGATAGGTCTTCCATTGGATCATTGGAACTACAGCGATTCAGTTTGAATATGGCTAAGAAACCATAACACAGCTGATAACACTAGAGTCAAAAAGCATCCTACTTCTGAAGAGAAATATGATGAGAACAGAATTTTAATCTGGAATTATCTTAATAAATAAATATTTTCTATTAAATTATCAAAAGGGTTTCATTATTTTTGATACTATAATGTGATTTGTTTCCATTCTCAGATTGAAAAGAAAATAAGCAGAATATGCTCTTAAAGATAATCTGCCTTTATAGAATCGGTTCCTGAAAATTTAGGGTGCCACCACTGGTTACATCCATAGTTCACAAAGTTCTTTGTCTCCAATCTTTTTCACAGCTGTATCTACAACCGCCACTAGTTACCCTCTAAATGATTTTTAATGTTATAACACATCTCTTAGAAGATCTTAGCAGCTCACCAACCAGAGACACCATGGCTCCTTCATATTTTCAGCACATACCAACAAATGAATTACACACTATCGACTAAACTCCACAAGAAGTAACACTGTAAACTCAACATCGTTCAGTGAAAACAAAAAGTATCTAGCACCCTGAGTATGACGATAAACTACATCTGACAGCAAGGCCTTTGATCCGAAAGTTTTGAAAACATCGTTCAGTGAAAACAAAAAAGTATCTAGCACCCTGAGTATGACGATAAACTAAAAAATGTAGCAAATTTTCTAGTCTGACAGCAAGGCCTTTGATCCGAAA